GTAATGTTAGATATAGCTTTAGTATTGTTAGCATGATTTTTATGATATCTCATTCGTCTGTACAGTTCAATACTGGTGGTAAATAGAGCCATAAATGTTTTGAAACGTGTTTGTGACACGTGGTTTTGATACTGGAACTCGATAAGTCGCTACTGGAAGCTTAATGGTCAATGTCCGCCACGTGTTAAAATAAATATGGCCCACCTTCTCATTACTCGTTTGATTATTATCTTATTATCTTTTTTAGTTATTTTGACAAAGGAAAAACGGTCTTAAATTACTTTTTATGTTTGGATTGAGATGCAGTTTTTATGTTTGTGTTTAGTAGACGAAAATTATGTCCGTATATTATAATATATCATTACAAGTTCTTACTAATTTGTTGGGTTCCCAACCGGAATTGATGAATATCATTAAGTGCAGCTAGTTTAAGTTAGAAAAACGGGGAGGCCGACTTCCAGGCCTCCCGTCTTACAAGCGCGCGCGGAGTTCAACAAGCTGTGAAGACGCAATCACCTGTAGTAATATCGCCAGTCAGTAAGGTCTAATGGGTCGCCGAGCTGCGATCAAGGATTGGTATCATGAATTAACATTTTCTTGTAGCGCGATGCACTACTGGGTCGCGCGCGCGCATCCAATAATGCTTCTCGCAACCACAGATCGGCGAGATGCGAAGGATTGACATCGTGAATCAAAACATTTTCATGTAATTCAATTTTTGTCTAACGTCGAGATTTACGTTTTATCGTTTGTCGTTGCGAAAGCCTTACCTGGGGACCCCAGGCTATTATGTTCATAAACATAATAAAGATTCGGCGGAATGACAGGCTGAGCGCCGCCCAGTAACGAAAGCCATGATATTATTGCTGCGCACTTGTGCGTGACTCTGGTTTTGTTGACCATTGTTAATGATCAGGCCCGGCGCGCGCTACTTCGTAGCACTTGCCATCGGGCGCTTCTTCGAAGAAATTTAGACAAGTAACATCCGTTAATGTGTAATGGTTTTGCAGCCGTACAAAACGGTTTTACATAAACCCTAATCCCAACCATAACCCGAAGCTAACCATAACCCTTTCCACAACCCTTAACGGGTGATACTCGTAAAATATATGTTCCTTACCTGGGAACCTCAGGCTATCATGTTGGAGGACTTCGCCGCTTCGACGCGCAGCGCGAACTAGCATCCGTGCTTCGCATTCTTGCTTCGCATCGAATGCAACAATTTCGACGGATTGACATCGTCAATCAAGCTATCATGTTCATAAACATATGAATAGAGATTCGGCGGTATGACAGGCTGAGCGCGGCCCAGTAACGAGTATTACCCGTTAACTAACATAATGTAAACAATCATCACGTGCGCCAAACACCACTCTGGGATACAATAAAGTAAAACGATTGCATTGTAGGCAGTAGGGAAATTTGATCGTGCGTGGTGTTACCGCGGCGAAATTTTTGTTAAAACAGAAAGCAGAAAGTGGCATAGATTATGTTCTGATAAATGATTTCAAAATTTTACAGAATGTCGATAACAAGTAGTCAAACCTTTGTGGCAAGTTTTGTGTGAGCTTCACTGAGCTTATTTGACCAATTTAAAATTATTAGCAACATTTCAGCGACCTATAACAATTTTAAAAGATAAGGATGGACTTGTCATACGTTGTATGACCCGCCGCGCACGAGTGCGCGGCTCCCCCTGTATCGTGAAACGACTTCACATAGCCATGTGTCTACGCGTACTGCGGTCGCGCGCTACTGCAAGCGAGAGGGCTCTGGTTAGAGCAATGAAACGACCGTGGGGGTCGCAACGTGATACAAGGATGGACCAGGGCAATAACAATAGTTATCACACTCCTATTTACCCAGGGGTGTAGAAAGCAGGGGGCAGGGGGCATCGCCCCCATGAAATCTGGGCATGGGGCCAAAAAGGGCCAACTTTATAATTTTGGTTTCCAAAAATTTTTGGGAAAAAAAATTGGAATATCTGTATGGGGTGTTGGAGGACTTCGCCGCTTTGACGCGCCGCGCAAACTAGCATTCTTGCTTCGCATCGTCGATCGTTGCTCTGCTTCGCAGAGCAACAATCTCGACGGATTGACATCGTCAATCAATATGGGGTGGTATTAGCAACAACCGACTCGAACCTCTCTTTAAAACACAGAAACACAGAAAAAGTGTATAAGAATTCTATTTGGGGATAGAGAAGCTTACTTAGAAAAATTTAGAACTTGTGCCCGGACTCGACCATTTGATGAGCAAAGACTAGGAGTGGACTTTTACAAAAAAGAACACTCTAAGCCCTTTTTAAAAAATTAGAAATTGTTAACTGTTCACAACCTGTATAAGTACACTTGTCTCTTAGAACTATTCAAAATTAATAACACGATCACGAGAGGATTATTTCATCACATATGAAAGCGCCTTCGCTTTGAAATTCTCAGAACAACAGTGATTTCTCTCCGTGGAGACAGAGGTGCGAGAAAAAACATTGTTGATATAAACAGTCTAGATCTTAACTTGGAGCCACAAGGCCAAGGGTAATTTTTAATTGTTAAGGGAATTTTTTGAATTCTTAAAGGATTGATTTTATATAGGGTCATTGCTATATTATTATGTGTATATTGTTTGAATAATTTTATTAAAAAAAAAATTATTTCATCACATCACAACCATCCTCACAATTCATCTACCAATCATCCTACATGTGGAACAGCTGTCGACAAAGATCAACGCGCGCGCGTAACAACTTATCTTGCTTACCACTATCTCAGCGAATGAACACAGAACGACTTGATTGCCCACTAACTCTACTTGAAAACTGACAGACGTCTAAACAATTGTGAATTATGACAGACTTAACTGTATGGGTCAACTTAACTACTGAAACTGTATTGTATCTTAATAATTATACTGGACATGAGATGACGAAGTATCTTAAGCAGCAGACAGTCACTTTATACCTCCACTTAGAACTTGATTAGTCATGAACAATAGAATCATCAAAAACCAATACAATAAAACATCTTGATTAACAAATACCTAGCAGCACCAGACAGCGGCCGTGTACCTTTTTCGACTCCACAGAGTCCCTGATGGACTTTTGATTACTTTTGTTAATAATCGGACCAACCTTTCTTTCTCGAAACATGTTTCCTACTGTACTTTATTATAGTATTAAGATAAAGAAAATGTGACTAGATATTAGGGGTCGTTCACATATTACGTAATCAGCCGAGGGGGGAGGGGGGGTTTCCAAATGCTTACGGTTGATTACGGGGGGGGGGGGGGGGGGGGGCGGGTTTCGGTCGTTGATTACGTAATCAAAATTTTCTTTTTTACCCTCTAGAATAATAACAATTTGACAATATTTTAATTCAAATTCCACTCAATTTCAATCTGATAGTGATAAAATTTAGAAATTGATCGGATATCCGGCTATAATAGTAAGTAGTTTAGAAGGTGCTTGGCCGGATATCATAACAATGATTTCAGCTCATCATGATAGCATGATCAGGGTAGCATGAAACGTAGAGAAAAGTGTTTTCTAGGAGTAGGAAAAAAGTCAATGGGGGGGGGGGGGGGGGGGGGGGCCGGGGGGGGGGGGGGGGGGGGGGGGGGGGCGGGGGGGGGGGGGGGGGGGGGGGGGGGGGCGGGGGGGGGGGGGTCAGGCCATGATTACGTAATATTGCTGTCAGGAGGGGGGGGGGGGGGGGTTGGGCCCACATCCAGAAAGTTTTATATTTCCTCCCAGATGCGTTTTTTCTAAATTCTGTGGCCAGCTCGCAAGTTTGCCTTTTTTTCTGTGGCCTGCTCGTTTCGCAAATATTTACATTTGAACACTGGACCAATTCACGACCAGGGACGTAGTCAGGTTTTTTCTTTGGGGGGGGGGGGCTGTTGGGCGAGTGAAGCGAGCCGACTCGTCCAATCCAGCTGCGCAGCGAGCGAAGCGAGCAAGCTGTGGCAGGGGTCTGGGGGCGCAGCCCCCTTCGGGGTCAATTTTTTTGCAAAATAGGGTGTTTTAGACGACATTTGGCATTCAAGAAATTTGTAGGACAGCAATAAACTGGGATTGAAAAGAATCAAGTACTCACGTAAATTTGGTAACTTCACAACAGCAATCTGCATCCTCCAATCAGAATATTTCACTGTGTTCCAAAACTGACAGGATGTTCCTCTTTGATTTTTATACAATCGAAAATTTCCTCAATTAATTTGTCTTTATTCCAAAAAATATTTTGAAATTTAGGAGTAACTTCTCAAAAATTTCCTCTTTTTCTCAAAAATTTCCTCTATTTCCTCTTATTTCCTCCCAGGCTGCCTGGCAAGATGGCGTGTTTCTGGATGTGGGGGGTTGGGTCTTGATTACGGTTGATTACGGAAGGGGGGAGGGGGGTAAAAATTGCTAAAATATTGATTACGTAATATGTGAACGACCCCTTACTACGAAATAGATTTATACCAAATTGTCCATGATATTAACTAACCGTGTTGATGGTTTTAGATTTTGTATGATGTAAGTATTTTAATGTGAAGCGTTTACTCCTCCCCCTCAGTAAGACAGTTAGATTGTAGATTAATGATAATAATTGTCAAATGACGTTATATAATATTATATAACAGTTATAAATGTTCAATGTTGTTGAGCGATTTCAAGAGTAGTGGTCCACAGGGGTCCAAAAAAGCCGTACAGGCACTTGGGTCCTTATCCTTGTCATTAGTCTCAATTGGATTCAGTTTACACAAAACATGAACATTTAGACGTACACATTGACGCGATATTTATTAGAAAGCAAAAAGTATAAAATAATACGTGCGTGCGTGGCTTGAGCGGCGCCGCATAAGAATGGATGCACGCGTGTAGGGGCTGGAGTATGCTTGTTATTATTTATAGATTAATGAAATGTTGCATTACTACTATTATCCGGTTGGAAGAGACAAGGACAAGTGAAACAAATTATTTGTTATATAGTAGTGTTGAAAGTATTAAAATACTTCAGGCTCAAATTATTTGTTATATAGTAGTGTTGAAAGTATTAAAATACTTTCAACACTACTATATAACAAATAATTTGAGCCTGAAGATGGCGTTGACGCCGAAAATTTGCCCTTACTCCTAACTTCCTTGTTTCACTTGTCCTTGTCTCTTCCAACCGGATAATATCCAGATATCAGTATTTCAATCATGAGACTAATAAACAGCGAACTACTCCGTTATTAAATGTTGCATTGTAAATATATTTAGAATTGACAATATATTATGATCTTAAAGTAAATTTTATAAAGCAGGCTTTGGATTTAGGTAAAATTATAATTTATTTTAAAAACCATGGATAGTTTTAGATTTACTTTGTCGTATAACTATAAACAAGTTAATCCTGTCTTCATGAATGCGAGGCTTTGACGGCCAGTTATTGAATTATACATAGAATTGAACTATAAATAGAAATGCGGATATATTGAAATTTAAAACTTTCAAAACGGAGGCTTATAAATATTATTATATTATGATTGTAAAATAAAGGATACAATTTTAAATTTGTTTCACTAAAAAAAATTTGTTTCACTGTTTCAAGATAAGAGAAAAAATGTTGACAGCAAAATTATTCAATAATAACTTTTTTTACTGTCAGACCCAGTACTTTATTAGTCTTTTGGTGTTAACTTTCCTTTTGTCCCATTCGGTAATCCATGATAGTGGGGGGGGGGGGGGGTGACATGTCTCCAATGTCTCTTGTCTTTTTTGAAAAGATAGGGTGCAGAGACATGTCTTGGAGACATTGGAGACATTGGAGACACAGCTTTTGGAGACATTGGAGACATTGGAGACATTGGAGACAAAGCTTTTTGAGACATTGGAGACACTGGAGACGTAGATGTATGATTGGAGAAGGAGGAGGAGGAGGATGAGGACTCAGGAAGAGGACTGAGGAGGACTGAGAAGGAGGAGGACTGAGGAGTACTGAGGAGGATGGCTGAGGAGGATGGCTGAGGAGGATGGCTGAGGAGGATGACTGAGGAGGATGACTGAGGAGGAGGAGGAGAAGGACTGAGGAGGAGAAGGAGGAGGACCTAGGAGGAGGAGGACCCAGGAGGAGGAGGACCCAGGAGGAGGACTCAGGAGGAGGAGGAGGAGGACTCAGGAAGAGGACTACTGAGGAGGATGGCTGAGGAGGATGACTGAGGAGGATGACTGAGAGGGAGGAGGAGGAGAAGAAGGACTGAGGAGAAGGAGAAAGAGGAGGACCTAGGAGGATGAGGACCCAGGAGGAGGACTCAGTCCTCCTTCTCATTCCTCCTAAGTCCTCCTCCTGAGTCCTCCTCCTCTTCCTCCTGAGTCCTCCTCCTGGGTCCTCCTCCTCCTAGTTCCTCCACCTTCTCCTTCTCTTCCTCAGTCCTTCTCCTCCTCCTCCTCCTCCTCAGTCATCCTCCTCAGTCATCCTCCTCAGTCATCCTCCTCAGCCATCCTCCTCAGCCATCCTCCTCAGCCATCCTCCTCAGTACTCCTCAGTCCTCCCTCTCATTCCTCCTCAGTCCTCTTCCTGAGTTCTTCTCCTCCTCCTCCTGAGTCCTCCTCCTGGGTCCTCCTCCTCCTAGTAGGGAGGAGGAGGAGGAGGAGAAGGACTGAGGAGGAGGAGGAGGAGGAGGACCTAGGAGGAGGAGGACTCAGGAGAAGGACTCAGGAAGAGGACTCAGGAGAAGGACTGAGAAGGAGGAGGACTCAGGAGAACTGAGGAGGAGGAGGAGGAGGACTGAATAGGAGGAGGAGGGGGACTGGGGGAGGACTGAGGAGGGGGGAGCCAAGTGGATATTTGGATAATGTCATCCATTTTTTTCGTGAATTATCCATTACAATAATCTACAAATGTCTACATTTATCTACAAAAAATGTATATCTCAAATATGTGCCCAGAAATTCTACTGAATTTTTGGAGATAAATGTATAAATTTGTAGAATTTGTAGAATTTTCGTGAATTATCCATTGACAATAATCTACAAATATCTACATTTATCTACAAAAAATTTAATCTCAAATATGTGCCCAGAAATTCGACTGAATTTTTGGAGATAAATGTATAAATTTGTAGAATGTCATCCACTTTTTTCGTGGATTATCCATTCTACATTAATCTACAAATATCTACAAATATCCACTTGGCTCCCCCCTGAGGAGGAGGGGGACTTGGGGAGGACTGAGGAGGAGGAGGACTGACGAGAAGGATGAGGAGGAGGACTGAGGAGGAGGACTGATGATTGTGGAGGAAGAGGAGGAGGATGAAGAGGAGGAGGACCCAGGAGGAGGAGGACCCAGGAGGAGGACCCAGGAGGAGGACTCAGGAGGAGGAGAACGACTGAGGAGGACTGAGGAAGACGTGGAAGAGGAGGAGGAGGAGGAGGAGGAGGAGGAGGAGGAGGAGGAGGAGGAGGAGGAGGAGGAGGAAGAGGAGGAGTCTCCAAAAGCTGTGTCTCTAATGTCTCCAATGCCCCTAATATCCATTTTATGTCCCTAATGTCCCCAATGTCTCCAATGTCTCCAATGTCCCCAATTCCAATGTCTCCAAAAGCTGTGTCTCCAATGTCCCCAATGTCTCCAATGTCTCCAAAAGCTGTGTCTCCAATGTGTCCAATGTCTTTGTCTTTTTCGAAAAGATAAGGTGCGGGAGACATTGGAGACATGTCACCCCCCGATAGTTATTGGTCTCCTTCTCACTGTAACACTGAGAAAGTGAGTGAACACAGAGAAAGATGGTAAAAGCTGAGATGAACGGAGAGTAAATACTGAAATATACAGGGAGGGCCAAAAGTCAGTACCCAAACGTTGGCCTTTATAAATCAGTCACTGACTGCCCAATTGAAATAATTCTTTCTGGTATAGCTTAGTACCACCACTGGTTCGAGGAATTTGTCAAATCGAAAAATATTCGAGTTCATTTTTTTCAAATGAAGATTCATTTTCGCATTTATTTGATAATTTAGATAGTCGGATCGAGCTAAATTTTATTGAATTGTGTTTGGCCATTCAAATTACGTTTGTACTGAAAAAATTAGAGATATTGCTTCTCAGATGACCGAGATACGAAGCATAACGAGTTTATTCATTACATGTTATCAGGTGATTGGCTTACCTAATCACGTGATAAGGTGACCCCGTTAACTACCCCGTTAAACATTATGGGAATCTTTAAGGCTGCTCAATTAAGGTGTCGTGTCACGGTGTCACATAATCACCCAATCAATTTTGCTAACGAGATACACAAATCGCTTGATAACTTCGTCATTTCTAATCCGTTTCACATCATTTTTTCAGATCAGATGCAAAATGTAATAATCTACCGTTTCAGAAAAAATTAAGCGTCCAACATGTTCAGAGTGAACAATATAGGTGTTTTAATATTGAATGGGCGTGGTCTAAAATATTCGAATTTTCAAATTTTGGCGACGGAATCCTCGAACAAGTAGGTACAGTATGCCATCTGCAAAGCAACAACTCTCAAATATAAAATACGGTGGAGGTATAAGACCCAACGTATGGGTACTGACTTTTGGCCCACCCTGTACATTAAACACTACGACGGAGCTGAAAAACTGAGAAAGAGAGTTAACACTGAGTGGGATAGTAACTACTGAGGGAAATGTAGAGTAACACTGATGAAGACAGAGAGTTAATACTGAGTGGGAGAGTAAAAACTGAGGGAAATATAGAGTAACACTGATGAAGACAGAGAGTTAACATTGAATGGGAGAGTAAATACTGAGGGAAATATAGAGTAACACTGATGAAGATAGAGAGTTAAGACTGAGTGGGAGAATAATTACTGAGAGGAATGTAGAGTAACACTGATCTGATGAAGACAGAGAGTTAATACTGAGTGGGAGAATAATTACTGAGGGAAATGTCTAGAGTAACACTGATGAAGACAGAGAGTTAATACTGAGTGGGAGAATAACTACTGACTACTGAGGGAAATGTAGAGTAACACTGACGAAGACAGAGAGTTAACACTGAATGGGAGAGTAAAATCTGAGGGAAATACAGAGTAACACTGATGAAGACAGAGAGTTAACACTGAATGGGAGAGTAAATACTGAGGGAAATGTAGAGTATCACTGATGAAGATAGAGAGTTAACACTGAGTGGAAGAGTAACTACTGAGGGAAACGTAGGGTAACACTGATGAAGGCAGAGAGTTACCACTATAAAATGGGAGAGTAACTACCTACTGAGGGAAATGTAGATTAACACTGATGAAGATAGAGAGTTAACACTGAGTGGAAGAGTAACTACTGAGGGAAACGTAGGGTAACACTGATGAAGGCAGAGAGTTACCACTATAAAATGGGAGAGTAACTACCTACTGAGGGAAATGTAGATTAACACTGATGAAGACAGAGAGCTAATACTGAGTGGGAGAGTAACTACTGAGGGAAATGTAGAAAAACACTGATGAAGACAGAGAGTTAATACTAAGTGGAAGAGTAACTACTGAGGAAAATGTAAAGTAACACTGATGAAGACAGAGAGTTAACACTGAATGGGAGAGTAAATACTGAGGGAAATGTAGAGTATCACTGATCAAGATAGAGAGTTAACACTGAATGGGAGAGTAAAATCTGAGGGAAATACAGAGTAACACTGATGAAGACAGAGAGTTAACACTGAATGGGAGAGTAAATACTGAGGGAAATGTAGAGTATCACTGATGAAGATAGAGAGTTAACACTGAGTGGAAGAGTAACTACTGAGGGAAACGTAGGGTAACACTGATGAAGGCAGAGAGTTACCACTATAAAATGGGAGAGTAACTACCTACTGAGGGAAATGTAGATTAACACTGACGAAGACAGAGAGTTAACACTGAATGGGAGAGTAAAATCTGAGGGAAATACAGAGTAACACTGATGAAGACAGAGAGTTAACACTGAATGGGAGAGTAAATACTGAGGGAAATGTAGAGTATCACTGATGAAGATAGAGAGTTAACACTGAGTGGAAGAGTAACTACTGAGGGAAACGTAGGGTAACACTGATGAAGGCAGAGAGTTACCACTATAAAATGGGAGAGTAACTACCTACTGAGGGAAATGTAGATTAACACTGATGAAGATAGAGAGTTAACACTGAGTGGAAGAGTAACTACTGAGGGAAACGTAGGGTAACACTGATGAAGGCAGAGAGTTACCACTATAAAATGGGAGAGTAACTACCTACTGAGGGAAATGTAGATTAACACTGATGAAGACAGAGAGCTAATACTGAGTGGGAGAGTAACTACTGAGGGAAATGTAGAAAAACACTGATGAAGACAGAGAGTTAATACTAAGTGGAAGAGTAACTACTGAGGAAAATGTAAAGTAACACTGATGAAGACAGAGAGTTAACACTGAATGGGAGAGTAAATACTGAGGGAAATGTAGAGTATCACTGATCAAGATAGAGAGTTAACACTGAATGGGAGAGTAAAATCTGAGGGAAATACAGAGTAACACTGATGAAGACAGAGAGTTAACACTGAATGGGAGAGTAAATACTGAGGGAAATGTAGAGTATCACTGATGAAGATAGAGAGTTAACACTGAGTGGAAGAGTAACTACTGAGGGAAACGTAGGGTAACACTGATGAAGGCAGAGAGTTACCACTATAAAATGGGAGAGTAACTACCTACTGAGGGAAATGTAGATTAACACTGATGAAGATAGAGAGTTAACACTGAGTGGAAGAGTAACTACTGAGGGAAACGTAGGGTAACACTGAATGGGAGAGTAAATACTGAGGGAGTAACTACTGAGGGAAATGTAGAAAAACACTGATGAAGACAGAGAGTTAATACTAAGTGGAAGAGTAACTACTGAGGAAAATGTAAAGTAACACTGATGAAGACAGAGAGTTAATACTGAGTGGGAGAGTACAGGAGGTGACCGGGATTCCCGGTTCCGGGAATCCCGGTACCGGGATTGGCGATTTTGAGCTATCCCGGTCCCGGTCCCGGTCCCGATCAAATGCTGATTTATTTATTTATGATCCCGGTCCCGGTCCCGGTCCCGGTTAATTTGGGATTCTTGGTCCCGGTCCCGGTCCCGGTCAATCACTCAAATTTGCCGGGATTTTGACCGGGATCTTTTACATAATTTCATTCACTGTGATTTTAAGTTTTTCCTTTCATTCATTGTGAATTTAATCTTTAAACATCCTCTGAGCCAAATACAACAATGTTTAAAATTGCTAAACAAGTTTGAGTAATAAATTATGATCATGAATTAACCAGTAATCTACCGGAATTCCCGGTACCAGGAATCTCGGTACCGGGATTGGCAATTTTGAGCTATCCCGGTCCCGGTTCCGGTCCCGGTCCAGGTCAAGTCACATTTTGTATCCCGGTCCGGTCCCGGTCAGGCCTGAAATCATGTCCCGGTCACCTCCTGGGAGAGTAGCTACCGAGGGAAATATAGAGTAACACTGACGAAGACAGAGAGTTAATACTGAGTGGGAGAATAACTAATGAAGGAAATGTAAAGTAACACTGACGAAGACAAAGAGTTAATACTGAGTGGAAAAGTAACTAATGAGGGAAATGTAGAGTAACACTGACGAAGACAGAGAGTTAACACTGAGTGGAAAAGTAACTAATGAGGGAAATATAGAGTAACACTGATGAAGACAGAGTTAATACTGAGTGGAAAAGTAACTAATGAGGGAAATGTAGAGTAACACTGACGAAGACAGAGAGTTAATACTGAGTGGAAAAGTAACTAATGAGGGAAATGTAGAGTAACACTGACGAAGACAGAGAGTTAACACTGAGTGGAAAAGTAACTAATGAGGGAAATATAGAGTAACACTGATTAAGACAGAGTTAATACTGAGTGGAAAAGTAACTAATGAGGGAAATGTAGAGTAACACTGACGAAGACAGAGAGTTAACACTGAGTGGAAAAGTAACTAATGAGGGAAATATAGAGTAACACTGATGAAGACAGAGAGTTAATACTGAGTGGGAGAATAACTACATTTATTATTCCATTTTGAAAATCTTGGACCTCATTTTTTGACGATTTTTCCAGGTCCAAGATTTTCAAAATCAAATAAAAAAGTTTTTAAGGCCTATCTCGAAATTCGGCTCGACAGATCTCTTCTAAATGATCCCTAGAACATATCCTGAAAGTTTCAGGGTGATTGCTCAACAAATGTAGGAGAAGATGGATTTTTAGACTCGATTTTCAGGGCGCGATTGAAAATCGCTCGCGCAATACACATAAGCGCAATACACATAAGCGCTGACCTTTGACCAGCGGGGCCCTTCGTTACGACACTGCCTCCCCCCTTCCATAATCAGTTTTACAAATACTAAATAGCTATTGTGTAAAAATTACACTAGCCTTATCATTGGAAAACCCCATTCCCCCCTCGGTTGTTTACGTAATATGTGAACCACCCCTTAATTGTGCTGAAGGTGCCTCGACTGCCTCTCAAGAGGACAGGTATGTTTGCATTCCCAATATTTTTAGCCTTCAAATACATGCACTTTCCATTTCAAGAATTCCTATGGGAGGTTATCAACAGATACACAAAATCCTGAAAATCTCTGTAAACCACTTTACACACTGATCAACAAATCTGCACTCTTCACTGACATGTACATGGGTCACATACATAAACGTCTAGACCTGTCTGAAAAATGGCATGGTCATGAAATAAATACAGCATAAACGTAATGTTACTGGGTTAAAGTTGATTGTAGAAGCTCATTGTAACAAGTATAAGTACATTGAAACATGAAACAATGAAAATGCAGCAGCTGTTGTCTGCTGAACATTTCAAATCATCACACTTCTTTCTAATGAATAAGAAAATCATTTAGCGCCAACAGTCACCATACCCGTAGTATATTCCTTGGTAATAGAATAACTTTAAAGTTTTTCAAATTGTTGCTATAATTGATTTAAAAATTTGCTATAATTGATTTAAAATTTGCTATAATTGATTTAAAAATTTGTTGTTTTCTTGAAAAAAAATTAGTTGTTTTCTTGTCTCCCTGTAATGCAGTCACTTAGATAGGTTGTATACTAATACACTTCAAAAAGAAGCATATCTCGTTTCCAGAGGTCCATTAGTGCTTACAAACCAAAACTCAGAAACTTATTATGTCAAACTAGTACAGGACATTTTTGCTCGGACCTTGGAGCCTAAGAGAGTAAGAGACTAGTACAGGACATAATGAACAAGAACACTACAAGTCCAGTGCTTGAAGATCTAATTTCTCACCAAAGTTTGCTTAATTTATTTTTGACACTTACCAAGAAACAACATCAGATTAAATTTCTATTAATGGGCCATAGTTTGTCAGTAAAACAGCCAATTAAGTTACACTATGTTACCGATTTTGGGTCTTCAAAGTTGAAAATGTATTACTGTAAATAATCTAAAAACATTTGTCAATTGTTCGATGAAATAAGTACTTACCCATTAATAGGGCAACAAGAATGAATAAAGTGTGATGTGAGTTCATAACAAGTTATACTTTATTTCAGTTTTTATAAACAATTTTTTAAATACTTGAACTAAAAAATTAGCTGTCCCCTTGGCCTTTGCAGTTGGAAATAATTGTCAAAACATGTGAAATGTAAATAAGCTTTAAAATAATGCTTCATGGATTCTCTAAGTCAGTGTTTACTGTGGGGTGATAATATCATCTTCATTTTCTGAGTTGGATGCTTCTGATACCTTCACAGTAACTTCTACATTCTCAAAATTAAAATTTCTGCCCCCTACTTTAGTTATTTTACTTAATGTTTCATCATCTGTTGACTTGCTTGATTTATCATTATAGATTGTTTTTATCACAGATTCAGTTTCCTCAGTTTTAACCGAAGAATCAGCTTCAGACACTTGGGGCACGATATATTGAACCTCGTAGTCAAAACTCGATGATCTGTTGCTGCTCACTTGAGAAAAAGTTGAATGATCGGAAGACTGCTCTGTGTTTTCTGTAGGGAATCGTTGCAAAGGAGCCTTGTCAGTTTGTGCAATGTCAGTAATTGTATCATCCCTTTCAGTTGGATGCCTCTGTGATTGTAAGGGAGAAACAACCCCTCTTTTAGGTTTTACTGGAACTGCTATCTGGGAGCTCTGTGCTACCGGAATCACATCAAATGTGTCAGATCTTGTCCAAGGATATTGAAGTTTAAAATCAGTGCTTGCTGCCTCATTTTCTTTTGTTGCTTCATTCATCTTGGGGAGGCTTGTTTCATCAAATACATCCGCTGCCTCCTCCTCCTCTAGCTCTAGCTCAACATCTCTTTCTATTCCCTCCTCAATTTCTTTTCGCTCCTCAATCTCTTCTCTTTTCTCAATTTCTTCTCTCTGATCTTCATCACTTGAAGTTTCTTGAAGCACTATCGGAATCTTTGTTACCAAGGTCTGTGTCACGATACCTTTCTTTTTCATAGATTTTATTGTAGGAGGGGATGTTTCCTCGGCGGGTGATGTCATTGGAGGCGTGCTCTCTAATTTGGTGACAAGTCCTTCCTCTGCAAAAATATCTTCAATTTCTTCCTCGTTGTAGTCTGACAGGTTTGTGGAATCATTGTAGGTTGAGGTGTCATAAGAGAGAGTCGTGACTAGAATTGGAGTCGGTTTCATCAGTGTATTTTCTTCTGCTTCAACCTCTCTGAAAAGATATTTATGCTTTCAGTCCATATGATTCGGTATACTGTAGCAATTTTACTGATTGTATTAAAGGAATCTTTGTGTTTGGAGGTTGCGTCATCCTCATCATTTAAATCGGCATTTAGAAACCCCAAAAAGTATTTGCCAACATGTTTGTTTATGCCTCTTGATCACACACTCACCAGTTATGCTGAACTAACACAAAACTTTCGGATTTACAAACGTTTTAACGTTTAATTGTGCAGTTCGAGCTTATCTTGACCCTTCAATTGCAATTGACGTACAATTAAATCCCGATTTACCGGGAAATTACACAAGTTATCGATCATCATACTGCTCATACTGTATAGTAACATTAAAACCCTGCATAGTTGATTTATAGTGGCAATTTGATTTCCCAAAAACAGCTATTAATCGAGGTTTTCCTACATAACATACTAAAGTACCAACGTTAAAACTTGCTATTTTGAGACAATTTACATTAAATAATAACATTGTTATTTCGTACCTGTTTAGATCATCCTCGTTGAAATGTAGGCTATGAAGACTAGATGAGTGTTTCTCGTCACTAAAAGAGCTGATTGATTCCAATTTATTTGATTTGTCATTAAGAAACTCTAGCTGATTAAACACATCTTGAAGTGATGACGACAGACCTGGTGATATTGGTTCTTCTGAGGTTTGGGAGCTTGTTCCAGTTACTTCTGTTAATGACGTCACTAATTGTGATGGTTCTGTTTTAGCCCGACCACCGAGCCGCGCAAACAGCTCCTCTACTTGCTCTGACAAAAGTGTGATAGTTGTTTCGTGATCGTTTAATTTCTGTCGCATAACATCCATATCCCTCTCATAGGTCGCCTGGATCAGTTCCAAGTTCTGAGTCTTTTCCAGAACCAGCACAACCAGCTGCTGAAGAATCGTAGCATTGCTTTGTCCGCTTTTAGCATCCTCAATAACCAAACCAGCCTCAACAACCATATCACAAAGTAAACCAAGCTGAGCCAAACAAAATATTAAATATCTTTACTGCTATTAACAACCAAGCCTCCCTCGCCTGGTGCCTGGGTGTCAGCCACAGGTGTTTTGTCTCCCTCGCTGTAACTGGTTGAAATATTATAGCCTGCTAATGTACTCTTGTCAAACGGAGCTAAGTTCGCACAAATATAACATATATACAACTCTACTCACCTCCACACACACACGATACAAACAAAGGGAATATGTTTTAGAGGCCCGCCACTTTCATGTGGTGGTGTTATGGGCGATGAGATTAAACCATGTGGCTGGTGGCGCGGGGTACTCACTGTATAGTGCACTTAATGTACGTTTTGTTTAATATTACACGACAGTGCTGTAAAGATATAGAGGCGGTTTTAATTTACTGTACATTGTACAACCTTGGCCCCAGGTGCCTGTTTCAACTAAAGCTCACTCAACCGTCGGTTCATTAATTATCCAACATGGCTAATGATTGTAATAACGTGGCGTTATTACATTTTGAACTAGCATATTATGTAAAGGGGGCTGTTTGTTATGCGAGTATACGATTAATAAGGAGAGCACAGCACCGTACAAAATTTAAACAAAATAAAGTGGTCTGCAGATATTTCTGGGGACTCAGTGCAAGAAGTGGTCTGTAATAGAGGCTGTAATATAAGTATAGTTACAACTGCAAACGCATTTATATCTTAAAACCATAAAAATTGGCCGCGCAATTATGAAATTAATGTAATCCAAGCCAGCCGACCGCATGATATTTACGTGCAAACTATTATAGTCGACTATAGTCAGTGTTCTGGGAATTTGGAGGAATTACCAAGATATCCCTTATATTAATTGCTGTAAGTGTAAGCAATTCTAATGTTACTGTACCCATTATTCTGGTAAATCTTTATTGCTGGTAAAATTATGTTAGCAATTAGTAGTTTCTCTTGTGGATTCGCTATTTTCGGTCACTGGGAGAATAAGTTAAGCTATAAATTTTAAACTGGGAAGTTTTGAAATTGGTTGGTGCTGCAAGCAAATAAAATTATTGCTCTCGTGCTCTAAAATGATAATAATAAGTTTAAACCACTATTAATTAAGTGACACTCATACTCAGTAGTGCGAAAAGAACTGCATAGATGCCCAAATACTAAGAATCAATTAAAAGACCGAAAAAGCAAAACTATCAGTTTAACACTAAAAATTGCATATCAGCAAATATAATACATATATAATATCCTTAAATACACGCATTTAACTGATCACACGGCCTAATAATATAGCTTCTCCAAATCATACTGTGACAAATTGAATAAGTATGTCTTTAAACCAATTTTAAACCTTTACACTGTGTAACACATTTTAAGTGATGGTGGTAGATAATAAATGTGTTCCCCTAGTATTAGCTCAAACATATATATATATATATATATCTGGATTCATTTTAACTAAATAGTTTCTGACTTGTTTTAGGATGAAAGATGAAATGGAAGTGTGTCCTGGGTTCGAATCAGACGAATGTGATCCTCAACCACAGCAACAACCTGATTCAGAATCTGAGCTAGCGTTTGAGCACGGATCAGATGGGGAGGATGAGCCACTTCCTGGGGTCAACCATATTTTCAGACAACCCAAACGCTTTTCATTTCCTTTCCCTGAAGATAACATTCTTTCAAGTTCTCCTATTGTAGGGCAAGTATATTGATTTATTTAGATCTCCATTTTATTTCATGATCAACGTGACTTTCTTTGATTATGTCACCGTAATATTATTAATATCCAATCTACTCATATGGTTGTACGCTGATTCCACAATCTGACCTATGAACGAGATCTTTTATTTTCAGAGTGTCCTCTACGCCGCTAAGAATGCGCTCTCTACTCGCAGCCACGTCCATGTTTACTGCCAGTCCCCTAACATTTGGGCCTACTGGACTCCAAAACAAATGTGTTACTCGGAACCGGAATCGCACCACCTCCGATGAGGGGGGTCCTGAACGTTTTGCCTTAAACAACTTGTCTATTTCATTGTGCAACGACAGTGGTATTAACGAATGTGTAAGTTTTTATAGACTCAGTATTTTACTCTGCTAGCTACCTTATTCTTGGTGCATTAGACAAGAAACTGCTTACTCTCCTGTAACTATTCTCCACTTCTTTACTGCCTTTGTTAACCGCAGAGTTTCGGAGTATCTCATAAACCTAAGAAGAGTGTAAGAAGTCTGAACCTTATGGATGAAACTCCTCCTGGGATTATGTTTGATGAGGTATGGCATAAACCTGTTTGGACTCTTGCTGTATGAGTGTTTCATACTTACTACTTCATACTTACTTATTAAATTTCAAACTTAATTTTCTTCTTTGAAAATCTAGAAAAAGCGTTCTTTCATATTGATTTTGTAGAACTTAAAGTTACAACCTTAAAGTTACAACCTCTATCTCTTAGGACAACATAGAAGCATTGCCAGAAAGTGACGACGAAACTGACGGCCCCGGGTCCAACAAAAGGGGACTGAGTGACTCCTACTTAGCTCTAAAAGAAAAGAGCCCCTCTGTGCCTCAAATGAAAAGGCGCTCTAGTGAACATCTGCCAAGGGTTCCTGGTTGTTTAGACTCTAGCTACTACGAGAGTATGCCCTTGATAGGTTGGTATACTGTGTTCACACCGTATGTCGGAGCCCACACCCAAAATGCGATAGCATTTGCAGGAAGGCGCAAAAGCCGAATGGTTGAACTGTGGTGACCGCCGCGCGGCGGCAATTTCAATTTTGAACAAACTTGAATTGTCGGCGGTTGTCATCACTTCTGCTCACCAGACTCGCAATTTGTCTTTTTTCGTACACCACTGATTTGTAATAGTCGGATCCCAACCGTTCTAAAAGGCTATCTCGTTAGCTTTTCGTGTTAAAAGCGATTTCTCAACGGTTATCACCTCTCTAGATGATTCTTAAAACATTTGGACTTCATTGCATTTTTGAAATAAATGCAATGAGGGCGTTTTCGGCCAAACCCCTTTTCAGGGTTTCGCGGTCAATCGAATTTTTGTATTTCAGCCCAGGAAGGTTTTAAAGACTATTTCGATACACTAAAATGTGCCTAATAGCCACATTTATATACAACTTATGAAGCAACATATACCTTAAAATGCTTCGTTTCGGAAATATGGCCGAAAAACGGTTTTTGGCTTGAAGCAGTTCATATTTTCCGTGATTTTTGGCACTTTCGCCTAGGAAGGTTGCAGAGACTATTCTGATACACTAAAATGTACATAATGGCCACATTTATATACAACTTATGAAGCAACATATACCCTAAAAGGCTTACTTTCGGAAATGTGGCTGAAAAACGAATTTTTGCCGAGCGAACAAGACAGTATTCACAAATGGGCTATTGGACTGTTAACTAAAAAGGTCTTAAAGAAGATTCATGAGGAACATAGCATTTGTCACAAGATGTAAGATGACTCACTTTGTGTCCAGAAACACCTACAAAAATTGGAGAATGATCTACTTTATTGGGCATCTCTCTTAATGCTTTAATGGGCCAGGACAGCAGCATAGTTGTGTCTTACGAAAGGGCAATTTTTCAAAATTACGGTTTCTTAAGGTCAAAGGATCGGCTGCTAACAGCAAATTGTTCGCAATTGCCGACTCATGTACATCATATACTCAAAAACGCTCACTTTAGGAGTCATTAGTAAATAACTACTACATGATTTGTGACAACCCCAACAATTTTTCCTTGGCACCAATTTAAATAAAATGTGTTTTTTTTTTATTTGAAAATTCAATTAATCATTATATATATAAATCAAGCGTTACATTTCAGCCATGCAAAATTACAATGACATATTTTGATATACAAATTGATGAATGGTACTGCAATATAAGTTGCTTAATGTTTGGTCGGATGACAACTAACGAGAAAAATAAACTTGATTAAACATAATAATTAATTCGGCTGAACCAACACATAGCTAGAGCCACATTAACGTTGTTGACCAAAATTCAATTTCAAACTTTTTATTTATCCATGCCATGAAACCATGATATATGTACCAAGAATACCGCACCTAAAATAAATCGGCACTGGATCCGGGCCAGATTGTTGCTTGACAGCTGACCAGTACCCCACTTTAAGTGCCTCGACCAATATTGATCTGTAATCCCTGGATTGAGATCTGTTGGCCGCAGTTTAATTTAGTTAATTTCCTATAATACCGCAGTGGTTTGGTTCTCACTTCAGAATGACCCCATATTCTTTTCTTTGTCGCATAGATTTTCCCATTGTATGATAATGCGTGTCATACCCTCGTTTTTTAATCAAGTGGTGACTGGCTAGTTCTTCTGTTATTACAGCTGCCTCGAGATCTTATCTGGGGCATGGGCACTAACTAAGAACATTAGAACTGTAATTCTAGAACCTCATATTAAAGTTACTTGGCAGAATAGCATTAGCAGGGTTCGAGATTTGACTGAGGGCATTCAGGTAACATACCAGGTTCATATCACCAGTTGAGGTGGATCTTAATTTCGGCATGCAATGCCTTATAAGTTATAAGCTTATAGTAGGATCACGGGGTTTATATAATAGAAGGTCTCGAGATGCTGATTTAGCTATTTAGGTTTCACATGTGAAATTTTTCCAGCTTTGGGTAAAGTGCTAAAGTGGATTTTAGAGCGGGGAGGGGGTCTAAATGACCAAAATCTGAACGATCTCTTACTTACGGGGCACTAGTACTACGGGACAAGGGACGGATATCGGGCCTAGTAGCTGTTTTCTAATGAGAGGCTGGGGTATGGACCTAGATGGTCAACGTGAGGATAGCATGAGGATTTAGGATGCTCTGCCTGCCTTTCGTGGGGTCTTGTAACCCCGAAAGCTGGTATATCTTATCTAAATTAACCTTGGTTAAATCCCGTGCTGTTTCGAATATATCATTAGATTTATAGGTCCAATATCAAGCAAAAAAGTCTGATCTCCGGTACTGATGTTACACTTACATGATCTCCGACGCAATGATCTCCGAAGTCCGATCTTAAAGTTGGATCTCAGAGCCAAAAAGAGGAACCTACGCCTTGGTTCCTCTCTTTGAGAGTCAAACAGGAAATTCGGTGTTATCAACTCAAACTCGGATTCGTAGCACAATTGAAAAACCAAAGAATAAAAATCTGAATGAATTTCCCGAAATCCTAAAATTAATATCAGGTTGTATTCGATTCAGTGGCCCAAACTCCAGTTTGGGCTTACGAGACTTAAGTTCAAGTCGAGGAACACTTTGATTAAGCATGATCCTTGTCTAGTTGGAGTTTTCGCACATCATGCATCTACTAATCACTCCTAAACTGAGAGTTTTAGAGTCGAATCTCGAACCCTGCCATTCAGTCAAGTAATCTTAATCTGAAGTTCTAGAATTACAGTTCTAGTGTTTTAGTACTAATGCATTAGTGCCCTAGATAAGATCTCGAGGCAGCTGTAATAGTAGTATGACTATGCCGGGCCAGACTCATTTCGAGAACAGTGGATTTCAGGCGGAAATAGGGCGGTTTGAAAATCTGACATATAAATTTGTGTGTAAAAAAGGGTGTATTAGTTTCCGGGTTAACCCTAGGTAGCTGGATTGAGTGAGCTTTCCGGGTGTGGTAACCCTAGTCAACCCTAGCTAGAATGGGAATGTATATTCTCAAAATATTTGCTGTATAGTTCCAGGTTATATAGGATATGTGCAGGAAGTGTGGCCTTGAAATTTATACTAGGTAGCTGGATTGAGTGAGCTTTCCGGGTGTAGTAACCCTAGTCAACCCTAGCTAGAATGGGAAAGTATATTCTCAAAATATTTGCTGTATAGTTCCGGGTTATATAGGATATGTGCAGGAAGTGTGGCCTTGAAATTTATACTAGGTAGCTGGATTGAGTGAGCTGTCCGGGTGTAGTAACCCTAGCAAACTTTAGCTGTGTGCAATTATATTCCTAATAATGTCTGTGCTGTGCTCTAGATAAGTAAAATAGTTTCACTTGAAGATATGACTGGCAGTCTGACAAGCCAATCAGGAAGACTAGTCGATATTTTTTCACTCTGGCCCCGGAACTAATTACATGAGGACATGACCGGTAGTCTGACAAGCCGATCGGGATATCAATTAACACTTCAATTAACATCCGTGCAGGGTGTTAATTGATACTGGATATTCGGTGCTGATAGAGGATGTGATCGTTATATAAACCAAAAATTTTGCAGTTGACATTATCTATTTGCTTATTTGATTGAATTCGCTGCTTGAATTATCAAATCTTGAAACAACCGATTGTCAGATATTTCCCCTTTGGTCGCTATGACAAAGAGCCCTTGTCATTTCGGTCCTTCTACGGACTTTAAGTTCAGTGGTGAATATGATTCAGCCCTTGCGGAGGTTTCCAAGTCTATTTGGCGTGCTCGGGATAACTATCCTATTAAAGCACTTTTGACTGTGACTGCCTCGAATGGTATCCGCTATGTGTCCAGTCCCTTGTACGTTCATCAGTTTAAACAGGAGATGATTGATCTTACCTTGAGGAGTAGTATTGATGCTCAACTGGAGCTTGCCGTGATGGATGCGGCATGTGTAGGCGTGTTCGATAGAATAGATACTACCTCTTATTATTTAAACCTCAGACAGATAAGGGATCCAGGTCATCAGTGCCCGGTGTGTCAGAAATGGTATGTACGGAATTTTAAGAGACATGTGGAAGCATGTGGTAAGGGTAAGTGGTGTACAGTTTGCCTTACTCATCCTGATGATTTGGTGACTCATCGTTTGGTATGTGAGGGGGATCTTTTCCATGTCGGGTATGTAGTTTGTTTTTCCAGAGTCGGGAGCTTAGATTGGAGCATGAGACGATCTGCAGAAGACCTGATAGTAGCGCGACAGCCAGGAACGTGAGACCTAGAGTGGAGACAAGTGAGACAGCTGAAGAGAGTTCCTTGGGAAACCAGACGGTAACCAGTATCACGGCCATAGATGGATTATTTCGTACGGAATATTTTAACTGATAAATTAAATTCCGCCGGAATAATTAAAGGCAATTGTGAACATTTTAAAAATCGCACGGAATATTTTAACTGATAAATTAATTCCGCCGGAATATTTTATCTGATAAATTAATTCCGCCGGAATATTTTAACTGATAAATTAATTCCGCCGGAATATTTTATCTGATAAATTAATTCCGCCGGAATATTTTATCTGATAAATTAATTCCGTCGGAATAAACAAAGGTAAATACGATCAGTTAAGAATATTTTATCTAATAAATTATTTCCACAGGAAAAATTAAAGGCAATTGTGAACATTTTAAAATCGCAGAGAATAAAATATAAACAAATTAAAAGTTAAACTGATGCAGTTTTTAAACAAATAAGTTAATCAACAATCATAAAGCATAACATCTTAAAACTTAAACAAATTCAATATCAAGGAGCTTTGAAGAAATCGTTTCCCAGATTGACTGATATTATTGAATATAATCATGGAACTGGTATAAAGTTCAATTTGGAATTGAAAGTAAACCTCAGCAAGATGGTCACCGGAGACATCGTAGCTAAAACGTTTGATAGCGAGATGATACCATTAGAGATGGGAGTGGATAATATTTTATCTAATAAATT